ATATATATATATATATGAACTTGGACATGACCTGACAAGGGATGTTTTCCTCCTTCTTTTTCTGAGTTGTAATTATTTTCTGGTGTCAGATTCCTAAAAAACACCTAAGTTCCTTACTTTCCTACATAACTGTTGGAGGATAAGGTTTATCTCTACCCACCATAGGGTTATTTCTACCTTCTGACTCATTTCTTTGTCAATACATTCGTGTGCTGACTTGCTAAATTCTTAAGGGTTGCCTGAGAACACAGTGGCCGTTGTGCTCGCCTTCGCTCTGAATGCTGAGCTATTTCTATGGTCCTTGTTGCCGTGGCTCAAAGAAACAGACTGGCATTGGGGCCTGTCATCATTTCAGAATGATTTCTGAAAAGCACAGGGACCTCTCGGTGACTTTTGTAGCTAAGTGTGATCTTACAGTAATTTTTTGTTAGTCTTTATACTTCTCACTATTTTATCCTCTGCTAGTGCAAATCTTTGACCACTCATTTTATAGAAAGCGTTTATAAATACATTTAAAAACTTTGTTTTTTGGGTTTTGGGGGTTTGGTTTTTATTTGTTTGTTTGTTTTTGGTACTGGGGATCAAACTCAAAAACTTTCATTTTAAAAAAGAATAATTGTTGAGCTATAAAACATATAAATTTTATGACGTCTATGTAGCTCTCAAACAGGGCTTACATGTTCTTTCCTCCAGGAACATTCATTTTTTAAAATGTTACATAAACCATTTTTTTAAACATGCAATTTGTTTTAAAAAGTTAAATATTGTGGAAGGGGGTAGAAGAAAAAGTAGAAAATCTCCTTTCCTATATTCTAGCCTTCAGCTCCCCTCCCTGAATGCAATCACCATCAACCATGTCTTTTGGTTTCTTTCCATACATTTTCAAAGCATGTGCAAGTTCACTTCCTATATACACACACTTGTTTTTACACAGCCATGCTACATACCGACTGTTCCGTGTCTTGCCTTTCTTTCTCTATTTAATCACTTAAAATACCCAGGCTCAGGCCAGGGATTTGGCTCAGTGGTGCCGCCACCTGCCTTGCAAGCACAAGGTTCTGAGTTCGATCCCCAGTATAAAAAAAAAAATACCTGGGGTCTATCATGTCAGCCTGCATCACCTGGCCTCACACGCGGCTGTGTGGCATTTCATTTCATGATGTGCTGTTGTTTGTGGATACATGATTTCTGCTTCCGGTCCCATTGTTATTGAAGTCTTATTGTCCTCATTACAAATACTGAACATTCTGAGAAGTGAAATTATTAAGTCAAGGAGCATTTTTTTGTGTGTTTGTTTGTTGCTTTTTGGTGGTGCTAGGAATTATGGTCATCATCTCACTAGTAAACTGGGCAGCTATTTCTGATTCCTTTGTTTTCTAGACCCTCATTCACCTGCTTTGCTATCATTTCAGAAAGTCCAGTTGGGTGGCTTTTGATTTCTACCACTTCAGTACCCCTGGATTGGAGGTCTGGGGTTGCACCTTGCTTCTGTTTTTTTCTCATTTTCTATTTTTTAAATTCGTTTTCTGTTTTGATGTTTGTAAATTGCTTATGGTAGGTAGCTTTGTTATTAGTACGGAGACCTGTTTAGGAAATGATTACTTTTCAGAAAAGTAATAAACTGCACATAAGCTGGCTTTTGGCTCGTGAGTCTGTCCTGAGATCTTCTTCAATTTGTTAGGGATTAAAGGTTGGTATCTGTTTGGGACCCAGTCCTTTGGTACTGGACTATGGCATTGCTTATGATCCCCAGTCTCAGCATTGGCGTACAAGGAAGAAAACTGATCACAACAACTATGTTGTTACTTTGGCCAACGTAGTGTGACCAGTAATGACTATAGCATCAAGCACAGTCCAAAAAATGACAAACTGTGATAACTGTCCTTTTACTACCTTTAACCATAGGTACAAGCTTTATAGTTGTATTAAAAAAATCTAAAACCAGTCAGAAAATTATATACAGTAAAAATCCATTTAATAGAGTGATTTTACCCTCAGGGGAGAAAAAAGGGATAAGAGGAAAAAAACAGAGAAATAAAAGAAGAGAAAGAGATTAGAAGCAAAGCTGAAGGGCAAAGGAAGATTACTGAAACTTTGGGAAACTGGTAAAGAAGTCAGGAGAAAAAGAAAGGAAAAAAATAAGAGCAAAGCAAAACTAAAAACTAAAAATGATGTTCACACTCATGAAAAAACAAAACAAGACAATCAAGAAAAAAACCCAAATGAACAAAACAAAACCCAAATGAACAAAATAAACAAAAAAAACTAAAAGAAAAAGAAATTTCTCTGTGACTTCAAGCCTGTGGTTATCTTCTGGGATCTACAGTTTTGTGGCACTGTCCAAGTCCGAGCCCAGACCTGCGCCAGGTAAAACCCCAGTCAGTCTGCAGTAGGACTGTGGAGGGGCACTGGACAATCTCAGCAAGCTGCCCGAGAGTTGGGTCAGGATACCCTGTCTTCCACAGAAGTTCACATTGATCCTTGCCTCTGGCTGTGGGCCCAGCCCAAGTTTTCAGCCAGCGGCACTCTGGTTGTCCCTCAGCAGCCTGCCCCACAGCTCCCTGACCTTGGACATCTCCCACAGCTGTCGCTCACACAGTCACTGTGGGATTTCAACACGGGGAGCCCTGAGATGGGGCCAACCCACAGCTACTCCGAGTCCCAAAGTTCATCCCTCCCTCCCAGAAAGGGCGTCTAACCAGGCTCTCTCTCCAGGGGAAAGGCTGTTGGTGCTTGCTGAGCACACGCTCTATCACTGAGCGATTTCCCAAGCCCTAAGGGATGTGTATTTTAAATTTTGATGAGGTATTTCTAAATTATCTTCTAAAACTCTTGCACACACTTCCATTTTCATTAATATTATCTAAAGCGTTCCCAGATCCTCATCCAGAAGTCTTTCTTTGGGGCTTGAAACATCTGCCATCCTAGTCAGTAAGAAGTATTACTCCTTAATGTGCCTCTGCTGAATTAGTGTATGTGGAACATTTTTTCCGTGAGACTAAATCATTTATATAGTTGTAAAAATTTCTTATTTCCTATCTTTCCCTGGTTTTTCCTATTGCATTACTTATCTTTTACCATATCCATTTTTGTGAGAAGAAAAGAAACCCTTCACCAAGATGAGCTTAAGTATGACTGCTTGTGGGGGTCTCCGGACAGACCACAATGAGTAGAAGCAAAATCAGCCTTATCACTGGCAGCTCTCAGGGGCTGAAATCACCTCGAAAGCATCGAACAGAAGTTTGCTCTCATTTTTACACCTTTATGTTTCAGTGGAAGGGGAAAACAGCAACCATAATCACCGGGGAAACAGCCATCAATCTAAACGTAATTATATAAGCAGAGGGGCAGTGAAGGGGAGAGCAGGAGGTTTGGCGGGGCTTTCTGTGGTCGCCTTGCTCTAGTGAGTTTGCAGTACAGTAGTGACTGTAGTTACAGTGTATTTCTCTCAGCAAGCATAGTTACAGAGCTAATGCATAGTTGCCCATTTCCACTCCAGGAGATGGTTTTTGCCCTCACTTCTATATAATACATAACCCACCAAGAGTTTGCAGGAGGCCACACACATATACATACTATACACACGAACGCTCAGATAAGCCCTCAGTCCCTCTCTTGAAGCCCTAAAAGAGAACCTAAGTGTGGCCACATTGCCTAAAGCAAGAAAGGACACAGCTTGGCTGGGGTGGGTGTGGGGGTGGCTTCACTGTTGCTCTTGGTTTTCTCTTGCTGTGTGAGAACTGACCACGATCTTGGCGGATTAGCTCACTATTTCCCTGGCACCTGTGCCTGGTCATGGCAGGATCGGGTTTTCTGCCCTCAGTCCCATGAAGTTTAGATCGTGATGTTGCCTGGTCTCTTTTTCAGGCAGAGCTCTGAATCCAAGTCTGTGTGGTGATGTCAGGGTCCAGTCCTCACCACCGTAGGCAGAATTCCCTTCTCCTTTGCTGGCTGTCAGCTGGGGGTACACTCAGCTCCTGGAGGCACCCACATTCCTGGTCACATGGCCCCTTGTGTCTCAAACCAGCCAAGAGCAATCCCCCTGTGTTGAATCCTTCTTGTGCTTTCAATCTCTGATCTAGGTCCAGACCTAAGGAATTTATGTGATTAGGACAGGCCCAACTCCAGAATGCCTATCTCGTGGTGGCTCAGACCTATAAACCCAGCACTGGGAAGGCTGACGCAGGAGGATTGCTGCAAATTCAAGGTCAGCCTGGGCTACATAGTGAGTTCAAGACCAGCCTGGACTACATCACGAGACCCTTTTTCAAAAAAAAAAAAAAGAATGCCTATCTCAGGATCAAGTGAACATCAAGGTCCTGCCACAGCAGCACTTATGGGCATTTGATAGACTCATTTGGAAGAGGTGTTTGTACCCCAGGGACCAGAAATTGGGGGTGGGGGGCATCTTAGGATTCTCCCCACTGCTTCCTCTACCTGCCTTCTTCCGGAAAAACAGAGCCCATACCTTTTGGAATAGGAAATCACACCAAAACACTTAGTGCTGGAGGAAGGAGACGAGACAGCACCCAGCTAATCCCAAGTACGAGAAAATACACCAGGGGAGCAAGGGTTAGAGATCTTGATGTGAGCAGTGAAACAGGAGAACGCTGGGGAGACAAACCTAGCAAACTACATACAGAGTGCAGGCACCAAGCAGACCTTTCTTGACCCAACTTGCTATTTCTGGCCCCTGTGCCTGCCCTCTCGATCCTGCTCCATACCCACTGCCCACCCAGCAGACCAGGGATGCACTAAAGGATTTGGAGTCTCTCACCTGTGCTCTTGGGAGATGCGGGACTTAGGTGTTCGGTGGCACAGAATGAACCGACCGGAACAGAAGTGGGTAAACTGCTAAGGTGGATGTACCCGGGAGCGTTTATCCAAAAGAATTCTAAAAATGTTCTCTTCCCCTCCCTCTGTCTGCCTCTTTCCTTTTCAACCTCCCTCTTGCCGCTCTGATTTAGGCGCTTTATGCAGGATTTGCTTGAGACCGAAGAGATTTATATAAAAGAAATGAAGAGCATAATTGATGTAAGTAGATGGCGGGGTGTGAGCAATATATTCAAGCAAGAAGTTTCATTGCTCAAAAAGACTCAAAATACTTGTCATGTGTCTCTAGAATTCCCCTGAAGACTTCAGGCCTTACATCACAAGTGTCTCTCCCATAGGAATAAAAACATTCTGACCTTTGGTCCGCTAGCCAAATAGTTCCAGAGGATTATGATTCTACCAACGCCCAAACTGGTTCACCATAAGCTTGCCAGCAGAGGATGATACAAATGCTTTTGATAGCGAGAGATCTTCTCTGTCTCTCTGTCTGTCTCAGCACCCCATGTAGCTCAGGCTGGCCTTTAATTCAAAGTTTTCTTGCCTCAGTTTCCTGAGCGCAGGGATCACAGGCATCTGCTACCACACCCTGCTGCTGATTTTCTAACTAGCTTTTTTTCCCCTTAAGAGTACAAATGTGTGTTTTCTCTCTTTTCCTAATGGAATAACCCAGAGGAAATTATTTGCCATAGCATTTTTACAATAGAAAATTCAGAAGCAACCAAACTATCCATAAAAAGAGGAATGGTCAAGAAATGATATGTGTTGAATAAACATTATTCATCACTTAAAAGTTATTTTAGATCTGTAGCAACATTGAAAAAATGTTCCTGGTAGAAGACTAAATTAATATGTGGGGCCAGGGATTTAGCTCAGTGGTGCCACCACCTGCCTTGCAAGCACAAGGTCCTGAGTTTGATCCCT